CCTTCCTTCCTTCCTCACTCACTCACTCACTCACTCACTCACTCACTCACTCACTCACTCACTCACTCGGGGTTTTCAAGAAGAGTTTGAACAACTATTTGTGTGAAACAGCATAGGGTTTCCTGCTTGAGCAAGGGGTTGGACTAGAAGACCTCCACGGTCCCTTCCAACTCTGTCCGTTCTCCCTCCCTCCCTGTTTCCTTCCCAATGAAAAGGTTGCTTGGATGAGTAACGAAATGTCTGGGCTTTAATAAACTTCGCTCCACAGCTGCCACGGTTTCACCTTCTGAGCTGCTCCCTAGTTAGGCTAAACCAGCATTAAACCACGAAGCAGCCGGCGGTGACGCGAAACCTTTCTTTCCCCTCTTCTTAGTCATCCATGGAGGCGCTGATCCATCATTTCAAACTTTACACCGAGGGATATCAAGTGCCTCCGGGGGCTACCTACACAGCCATCGAGGCTCCGAAGGTAAAGGCCGAATTTGTGCACCACACACGGGGGGGACGTGGCTGCGTGGATCCAAAGCCTCACCCCTACGACGGGGACGCCCGAAAAGCGAAAACCCACCCCAGTCCTGTCTGGACTCAGTTTTTCAAAGCAGAAATGGTCATTTCAATGAGCTGAACTCCTTCCGGCTTTACTTCCTTGGCTGCAGGGTGAATTCGGCGTCTACCTGGTCTCTGACGGAAGCAGCCGTCCGTATCGGTGCAAGATCAAAGCGCCTGGCTTTGCACACTTGGTAAGAGAGAGTTAACACCTCGACGTGTCCCTGAGGTCAGGAGGGAAAGACAGGTAGTCCTCGAACTTAGGACCACAAGGCGGCATTTCTGCTGATGAGCGAGAGAGTGAAGTGAGCATGCCCTGCGTTTAGAAACTAGTTATTTGGCAGCTAGCCAAGCGAGATAAGGTTCGTGTGGATAAACATTCCTCGGAAAGATGGTTTGCTAAGCCTGGTGGACTGTGAACGAAAGGAATTTCTCGCACCTTCCTTTCCCCCTAGCACGCGTCATAAGGACGAGCCCAGTTGCCAAGTGTCCGGATTTTGATCGGGGGTCCACAGGAGTGCAACAACGGTCACAAGTGTGAAAAAAACGGCCACAGGTCACTTTTTTCAGTACTGTTGTGAGTTCAAGCAGTCTGTTCTGACCCAGAACCTTCCTTAGAAAGCAAGAACCAGCGTCTGGGTCCCTGCAAAACCCCTTTTATTTACACGCCTGTGAATTCCTTTCATTCGCAGTCCGCAAGGCTTATCGAACAGTCTTTCCGAGGAATATTTATCCACACGAACCTTATCTCGCTTGGAGAGCTGCCAGATAACTAGTTTCCAAACTCAGGGCAAGGCAAAAACTTGGCAGAGAGTCTCTTATAGTCACAAACAGATCTATCTATCTATCTATCTATCTATCTATCTATCTATCTATCTATCTATCTATCTATCTATCTATCTATCTATCTATCTAT